CAGTATTTCTGTGCTTCCATGAAGAGTAAAAACATCTGGTTAAATTACTATGTGTGAGTACAGTGTGCAGGCAAAACCCTGCACAAATCGCATATAAAATAAACCACGGCTTCGGTTCTTTCTGCTTTTCCAAATGTTCAGCGTGAGCAGTCTGTTGAAATCACATCCCTGATATGTGTCAGCACAATGATAACTCATGTACCAAGCTTCTTTTCTGAATAAAATCGAGTTCTCTTCTTGTTCTGCAGCTGCCAATGTTTTAAAGTTGAATTCTGTTATGTGTGTTCCCCCCACCAAACGCCCCCCAAAGTGGACTGGCACAAAGCGTTGCACAGCAGCGGCGATGGCTCCAAGGGACTGGCTGGACGGAGTTGTCATGTGTCTGCCTGTCTACACTTGCTGTGCAGAACATCCTCTCACCTGTACAGCAGGCACAGACAGGCAGTCGCATGACAACCCAGCCTGAGGGACAGCCACCAGTGGGACCCTGCTCTGAGAGCCCAGAGCGTCTGCAGCACCAGCTCCAGCCAGGAGTCCTCTGGACCTCACACGGCCGCTCAGTCACCAAGCCCAGAGTCACAGCAGCACTGCCTGTCAAGTACAATAAAACCCACTGCTGAAATTCTTACTGTGCTTCCTATAGTACTCTTTTCCTAGCTGTGTTCAGGAGCTCTCTAACAGTAAGTTGGATTTACCCGCGGCCCTGCGGCACCTCCAGATGTTCTGTCCTCCTGTTTGCTTCCCAGGCATCGCTCGATTCCTGCTGGATAAAACTCCCTGACAGAGGCCAAGAGCAGCTTGTTGTGTGGCAAGCTCATTCTGTAAACACACACAATGTCAGACCTTAGAGGAACTTCTCCCCTTTGCACTCTCTCACCTCCTCCCTGATTTTTATAAATTCGCTCTCGAATCTCACATCATTTTACAATTGGGAACAAACGGTGAAATTATAATACAAACTGCATCCATCACTGGATGTTGACAATAATATAATTTACTATTGAAACAGAATGGAAATATTTTCTTTGGAAGTAAGACTACAGGAGATTTTTTTCCCCATCAATGTAAATTTCACATTTTTAGGAATTCTAATTCTACTGTCCAGTTTGGCATCCTTTGCACAGCGATAATGCCAGTGAAATCTCTGGATGCTTTAGAAAGAATAATAAAATCACATTCTATGACCGTGCACTGTAACAATGTTACACCACTTCACAAATGGCATCCATATCTTTACAGTGATGAGGTTTTTTATTCACAAGCTAGAATGACATTCCACATTCCCAAAGTCCATTTCATCCTAATGCAGAAGTGGCTAATTCACAAACTTCAGATTTGCAGGTAGACTCTCAAATGAACCTTAGTAACTGCTACTTAACAATACAGCAACAACAGAGAGCTAAAATGCTCAGATTTAATAATTTGTGTGTATAGGTATACCTTACAATGCTTCAACTGGGATTACATGGAATATGCTACAAAATAAATCTGTATTTGTGAGGTCACAGAGTGTGCTGATCTTGCACTTGTTTACAGCAGCCTCAAAGCCAGTACACAGCACTTTCCTTGCTTGGTTTTTAAGTACAAAAGCTCAAAGTCAGGGTATTGCTCACACAGCAAAGTTACAAACAGAAGCAACTGCATGCAGGATCAGAAACTAATCCATGTCAGTTCTCCCAGAACCAATACTGTAACTTCTCTAAGCACACTGATCAACACCAACCTGGCATTTCCAGAACTGCAAGTCTAAAAATGCATTCTTAGGCACGGAATCCCTCTCATCAGGAATAAAATCCTGGTGTATGTTTGACAAATAAAACTGTGTGAATAAACCAATAGTTTCTTTTCTAATATTGATATCATACAGGAAAATCTGAAATATTTTGCCATAGCAACTCGCTTCTAAATACATTGTACTGTGGATTTATCACTTATAAAGCTGCACCTCACAAAGGAATTTACATCCTTCTAACGGCACTAGCAAGCCACCACTAGTGATTTTGCTCTCAGAGCAAATTCCAGACTAAAAACCAGGCTCAGCTTACACTAGAGGGGGTACACAGCCCTGGAGGCCCCAGCAGGCACTGGAGCTTTGTAAAGCACATTGTCAGAGCTCTCTGGTACACAGCTGCTGCAGCACTGGCTACAGGCACTGAGGGCACAAACTCCTGAGCATGGCAAGGGAGGCCAGGTGAGAGCTGACCCTGCACCTTCCCCAGCTGCCAGGGAAAGGCTCCAGGCCAGGGAAAGGCAGCCTGAACAGGGGTTGGGGGCTCTGAACCAGGGAAAGGCAGCCTGAACCAGGGCTGGGGGCTCTGAACCAGGGAAAGGCAGCCTGAGCAGGGACTGGGGCTCTGAACCAGGGAAAGGCAGCCTGAACCAGGGAAAGGCAGCCTGAACAGGGGTTGGGGGCTCTGAACCAGGGAAAGGCAGCCTGAACCAGGGAAAGGCAGCCTGAGCAGGGACTGGGGCTCTGAACCAGGGAAAGGCAGCCTGAACCAGGGAAAGGCAGCCTGAACCAGGGCTGGGGGCTCTGAACCAGGGAAAGGCAGCCTGAACCAGGGAAAGGCAGCCTGAACCAGGGCTGGGGGCTCTGAACCAGGGAAAGGCAGCCTGAACCAGGGCTGGGGGCTCTGAACCAGGGAAAGGCAGCCTGAGCAGGGCTGGGGCTCTGAACCAGGGAAAGGCAGCCTGAGCAGGGCTGGGGCTCTGAACTCCCCACGACCTCGCAGGGCACAGCCAGACACACAAACACAAGGATCACTTCTCACATCACCAGACTGCACATCTCACTGGGGGAAACACCCCCACACAGCCACTGCAGGCAGCAGCTGAGGAGCCTTACTGATTTTTCAGTCTTACTGAGAAGATCCAATACAAAAAAAAAAATAAACAACAACAAAAAACCCCAAAAACCAAAACAAAACCAACCAAGCAAACAAACAAACACAAAAAAAATCATAACTTTATAAACTCTTTTCCAAGAGAGAATAATGAAATTATACAGCTAAGCTGCATTTAAGGAGCAACTTCTTTCACCAGCAGAGCATGGAAGAGTACTCTGCTATTATGCTATGCAATTATTTTCTTACCACTCTAAGAAATCCCTAAGTGATCTCCCATGGCCTGAATTAACTACTGACATTTCCATGACTCTCAAAACATAATTGTTTGGCAATTAAGAGACATTATCTTAAAATATGCATATGGAAATCACACAGTGGCCACTTCTTTCTGAGTACTTTCATGAGCTTCCCAGGTGACTCTCCCCAGCAGATTGTCAAAACTATTTATTTTTAAAGTTGCACAGCACAAGATGTACTGTTGGGATTTTCAGGAGTTTTTATATTTCCACTAAACAAAAATCAGATTTAAAAAAACAACACCAAAACCACCTCATCTTGGATGCACCTCCAACTGCCTGAGACAAAACACAGCAAGTGTGTTAATTTTGCCACATTGCTTGTTTTAGTTACAGTTGTTTGTATCTTACCTAAGAAAGCTGGTTTGAGTAACTTCAAGGCAGATCACAAAAACCAACAGTTTCAAATTATCAAAATCATAAAGCCACTTTTGCATGTTTTTTCAAATTCTGTTTCAGCAATCTGAGAGTAAAATTTCCTCTCTTGACACCTGTCCCTTGGCTCCTCCCCTCTGCCTGACATGCACTGGTTTTCCTGTTACACTAAATTTGAATCCCTTTAAAACTTAAATAAAAGGGCAAGGGGCAAAATCCTCAAGATTAACCTAAATTGTCCCTCTGCCTTAAGGTGTACCCTGAAATGGCTACAGAATGGGGGAAAAATTTATTTCTGAGCACAGTTCCCACCCCCAGCAGCATTACTGATGGAGTTCCACATCCTGGATTTGCAGCACTCTCCCTTATGCACTGCAGGCCCTCTTCCCAGGGCTTCCAGAGAATCCACTGCAGTAAAATACCATGGTAGCTTAAAGAGAATATGAATGTGCACAGTCCCCATCAACCTGCTTTGTTGGGATCAGCCAGTGTTTTGATTATTACTTAGAATAAGATGAAAATATTGAGTGATGCTTTGGAGCTCATTTAAAGCTTTCTCTTTACCTGTGCTTCTTCCATCCATTGAACTGGTTCACCCTAAAAATCAATAATTTCTTACTAAAAACATTTCAAATTGTTTTGGGGCACAACCCAAATAGGAAATAATAGGTTTTTTAAAATGTAGCCCCATTTTTCTACAAAAACCAAAACAAACCTTAAAAAAGTCACAAAGGCTTTACCATAAATCTGATGGCACACATATTCCTGTTTTAACCTTCAAAATACTGCTGGAGACTTGGATAAAATGTATCATTACACACACAGTTGAAAAAGTCATCAAACAGAACAGACAAGCTGCCTAACAATATATATGCAAAGTGAGCAATGAGGATGTCCTTTTCTTCATTTCCATATCACTCACCTCAGATTTACTGATCACCCAAGAAGGTGCATTTTTTGTCAAATTTGAAAGTCCACACCAACCAGCTAGAGAACTCTGCAGATGGGCTTTGCATCCTCTCAGAACACAAGACCAGAGAACAGCTGTTTTCATTAAATCAATTGCTGTAGTTACTTTCAGAAGTAAATTTACCCAGACAATTTATGATCAACTTGCAGTAGATGTTCAAGAATAACCAAAGCAAGGATAGGACAATAAGCAGAGTATTTCAAAACATCCTGAGATTTTTTTTTTCCTTTTTTAAAAAAATGTGTGGAAATCACAGGAAGAGAAGAAAAAAGTAAAACAAACAAAAATACTCCACACCACACCCTGTGTTTGTTGTCAGCATTTCAACAGAAGTCTTAGGCAGTCAGCATTCTCTATGAATCAAACCAGAAATTTAAAGAACACAACTAAAACCTTAAAACAATCTCTCCATTCAAGTTTACACAAACTGATTAAATTTTTCAAGTTGATATCAGAATACTGTATTAATACTGGGGTTTTCCCCAATAGAAAAAAAAGTTCTTCATTCCTTACCTCATCATCTTTATACCAGGACAAGCTCTCTGCAGTCAGGACAAACCAGTATTCCTTGGAGCCTCCTTTCATGATGCCAATGTTGTTGATGGTGAGCCAGCCTTTCCGGATGACCTATGCAAGGTGCAGTCAGGTACAAGTTTAGTTCATTTCTCACTTGACAGAGTTCTGCTGCTGCATTCATTCTTTTAAATCAAGATTTGCTAAATGAAACACAAACAGGTGCATTTTTTCAGTCTCTGAGAAAGTCAAGAGTTTTTGCAGCATTCCAACAATAGTAATGAAGTGAGTACTACATTTTCAGTCTGAAGGTTGGAGAAAGAGAGAAGTCAAACTATGAGAATGTTGTACTTCAGCGAGTGTGATAAGGATCAGGTAAGCTTGAAGATATTTATTTGCTGTATATGAACATATTCTGAAAGCCTACACAATTAATCTCTGACTACACTGTTCTGGTCTAATTGTTAAGGTCATCCCTAAAGGTGGATACCAGGAAAAGCACCTAAATTCTGGTAAAGTGAGTGGCTTCTGACACACTGGGGATTTTCAGAAGTGGTTGCATGGAGTGACAAAGGGGAGAGGTGTTCTAAAGTCAAGTTAAATTTAAGGCAGGAAGCTGTAAGGAGAGTCATGCGAGAGCCATTTTCTTCTCATAGGATAAAAGAGAAAAAGAAAAGAAGGGAAAAAACCTTAAGCAACAACAAAAATTGGGAGGTAGAAAAGGTAAAGAAAAATTTTAGAAAATAGATACACGCCAAAGATGAAAGAACAGATGTGAACATACCTATAAATACTAAGATCAGGAGGCTACAGCATGTACAGAGAAAGAGAAATTAGACAACTCCCCAGCAGAAGAGAATAACCATGAAAATTCATTTACAGATGAGATGGAAACTTTCCATTTTATTGGAACAGCCACTGTTTTCCAATATAAATGAGAGAGCAAACATTCCTTCCTATCATGCTCTGAACAAGACCACAGAACTCTCCTAATCACAGATGAAGGAACCTCAGCTCTTCTCTTTCTCCCCACAGCAACACCCTTCAGTTGCCAATGGAATACTGAGACAAAAAAGGGCTCAGAGAAGCCCTTCAGAATCCTCTCAACAATCTCCACAGGCATTTACTTGTGTGATCAAACATGAGTTTCCTCCTGTATTTAAAGAAATCTATGAGACCAACGTTCCTCTCACAGGGCTTCACAAGACCAGTAACTCCAATACCAACAACTCACCAAAGAAGAACATGGCTCACTATCTATTTCCCATCTAAAGAAGTTTCAGAACCAGAATTCACTCCTATTTAGCCTGGATGTTCATGCAAGCTCCTAAAAAAAACCAGCTTTGATTCTGCACAGGGTGAGGGACTGAATTCTATTTGATAACTAAACCAAAGAAGTTGCACCTGAAAAGCAGGAAATGGTATGGAAATGCACATAATCCAAGAGTATCAGTTTCATTTCAAGGAAGATAAATGTGTTTTCCCATTTACTACCAACCAGGCCAGCAGTGTAAGAAAAGTCCTGACAATGCAAAATATAAAGATTTTCTTACAGGCTCAAAACTTAAGAGAGCATTGGTTTGGTTCTGAAGCCACAGTAAGGGATGAGAGAACAGGACATGATTCCTGTAAACAGACTCAAGGGTATGGCACAAGTAGATTAGATGGAATAACCTGTTCCACAAAGGTTTCTACAAAAGTGGGTCAGGACTTTTAATATTTGTGGTTTTTGAAGGGGGAACCTAAGTGGAGAGGGGCATCAGTGAGTGCAGACACACATGGAATGCTTGCCTAAGTGCAAGGGAAACATTGATAAGAACTTGGTTACCCATCAAATCCTCATTTTATTTGTGATGTTTATTGAAGTAAGTTTTTAACAGGAAACAAGTAACATGGATATACAGCCAGTGTACTGGCCTTCAGGCAGCTGCCACAGGCCAAGTTGTGGAACCCAACTAATTCTATTTTTTCTTTCTGCGCTGAACTATAAGGAAAAAATATTAGAGAAAAATCAACAAAATTAAGGTTCTGCATTCACTCGAACTGAGTTCTGCAGCAAGGGGAGCTGTATTTGTGCAGCAGACTAAACCCTTCACAGCACATGTTCCCATGCTATAAAAAGGCTGGGAAAGAGGATGCTGTTGAACCACATTGTCTGCAATTGAAAATACCATGTTGCTCCATGCAAAGCTCATATCCACACACAGGAAGCCCAGGCAGACTGACCAGCACCTGGTTTGGAGAAAAATGTTTTGGAGAAATATCTCAGGGAAGGTAAAAGATTCGAACACAGATTGCAGTGAAGATAAGGAGGTGGTTTCCAGACGCACACCAGGCAGGACACCTAAGCAGCAGGTTCAAGAACCTTACAGGTGATGAGCACTTCAAAGGGAAGGGGAGGAGCACTCTCTGCTTATTCCATCCTCTCCCTCACCATTACCACAGGCTCTGTAACAACTTCATAAGAGTCCCATTTTCTCAGTTCCACAAGAAGGCATTTGTGGTAGAGGTCTCAGAACAGACCAAGCCAACATTTTAAATACTAAACTATACAAAGCACTTAAGAAGAACTGAAGGTTTCAATACTTCTAAGGTAGGAATTGTGTCATGCTCCAATCCAACACATCTCCCTACAAATGTGCAACCATCATGGGGTGTGGACAGAAGCAAGCTGACTTGCTAGGACAACCTCTGGTCACTGGTTCATAAAGGAAGGAATTGGCCAGTAGTTTCCTCCAAAATCCTGTGTGCTGAGGATTAGATCCAGCTGTCATTCCCCCACAACCCTGCAGAAGAGCAGGACACCAACTTACAGCAATATTTGGGTGTGTGCTTTTCATGTGAAATTTCTAGACCTGTTTATCTATACCTCTCTGGGGAAACAGAGTTTTGTGTTCTCTAAAATATCCTGGACTCTACAACAGGTCACAACAATCTAAAATACTAGGAAGCTGTTCCAGGGGCCACCAAGAGGGAGAAGATGAGCTTAGTGTGCTAAGCCTCATGTCCTTTTCATTGAATTTGCCCATTTCCCAGGCACATTCTGTTAACTCCAAAAAGCTACACTTACACAAGACTCAGCATCAGTGTTGGACATAAAGGGGAGGGAGATGTTGGATCAAGGTGTAATGCAAGAAAAAGTGAGATTAAGGAACATAGTTTCACTTTCCAGAGAAGTTGAATGACACCTTAGACTCTGGCTAAATTCTCAAACAAAAAAAACAAACAGTCATATTTTAGAAGTGTTCTTCCACAGGCAATAACATGGTAAGATTTTCAAAGACATTTTTGAAGTTCAAAAAACTCTGAAGGAGAATTATTATTCTGGAGTTTTCTAAACTGTTGTGTTAGCTATTTTTTATAGCACTTCAGCTTGAAAAATGAAAGCACTGTGTTTCATTATAGTTCTTTTTCTCATTGGGTTGTATCAGAGAGATCCATTTCACTCTTTCCTATCCTATTTCTAAATGTCATTCTGGGCAGAGCGGATGTTAGTGACAAGTTATGAACCTCAGGAAGGTGAAAAACAGGGGCACAGCCAGAAGCTACTGCAGACAATATTCTGAGAGGCAGCTGGACTCCATGCACAGGATGAACAAGAGATGACACAGTTCCTTCCTTCAGGATCCTGATACCTAATCTGGGTGACTGAAAAATGAAACTCAGAGCCCCTGAATGCACACGAACAAGCCAGAAGGAAATCACTCTCATAGTTCAGCTGCACAAAACCCAAATCATATTTGTTGTTCTTACCCTTCACCACTTCATGGATAAACAGGAAAGCAGGATTTGACACAATAAGCACAATTTATGTGTTGCTGCATGACTTTAATTGCATTAAACCAAATAAGGCATTTGTAAAAGAAATATATTGAAAGAAATGGGACACTTTCTGATTCTCTAAAGAAGTATTTGAGGGATGACTTCAAAATAGGTGAAATACATTAAATTGGGCAGAGAGAAACACAAGAGTGAGAATCATGAGACTGGACACTCCCACAAGAACACAAGCAGCAGTAATTGCAAATGTAACACCATTAAAGTTGTGTTGTGTAACTCCACTGAAATAATTTTGAGCACAGAACACAACTCCCAGTACCCCTCCATCTTCCAACCACTGCCATTACAACATGTGCTACTGAACAGTAAGCACATTGAGAGAATAAAAATTACAAAAACTACTCAGGGTGGCATCCTTGGAAGCTGTTGGTTCTTTGGATTCAGTCATGAAGATCCTCACACTACAGAAGCTGGAACATATTAGAGGGGAAACCTACTACAGTATTTCAATGTAATTTGCCAAATGTCCCAGCATAAACTGATCAGATCTGCTCTGATACTGAACACAACAAGATCTTGTGACATTGCTTCCCTACAAATCACTGCACAATGAATTACATAACTTAAAACTTGTGACAGAGGCTGAAGTCCCAAAAAAATGTCTGCTTTAAAGAAAAATTTAGTCTTTAATGGAGCAAAGCTCTCAGGGGTAAAAAACTGAAATATACTTCCAAATATAGTTAAACAAAGATTGAGGTACGTCAAACATGAAAGGATATTAACCTAAAAAATAAATAAAGGCCATTTAGAACAGCAATACTCCTCTAGACTTGATAAAGTGAAAACTCAAAACCAGCAGGTTTCATGCTGCTGAATTTTAAATTTTTTTGAATGTGTTAGCTCATGGGCATCACCTCTTTCATAGAAATATTGACATTTCTTAACAGAACAGCTTTGCCATGATTTTTCATAACCACCTCACTGACCATGGCACAAGTCTCCATTTCCATCTGGTTGATTAAAAAAATTCTACAAGCATTTATTTCCTGGGTCATGCAAGATGATAGGATTTAAGTATATCTGAAGAAAAGAAACAGCAAAGTATGCTACAAAGCAGGATTAAAAGAAAATTTTTTAAAAGGGGGTTACAAGGGGAAAAGTTACTTATTAGGACTATAGCTCAAGCCAGCTGATAGGGTCTGAATGCTACTTGTCCAGAAGAAATTAATCAGGAAATTAATCAGAAAATTAATCGGATTGTTGGTGTAACACTCAGGAGAGGCAGGTCAAACAAACCCCTCAGACCTAAACCTCCACATCACATGGACAGTGCCTTGAAACTCACAGTTCACATCAAGCCCCTTCTGCAGTTACAGGGCTACTTCAAGCACAGCAGCAGATTTTGCCACAGGACAGAATCTCCTATAAATGATATGTAATCCTCTATAATTTCAGTGTCTTGCATTCTCACACACAGCAATTGGGCTCATGGAGCAATGACACTTTCATCTCTTAAGTTTTATCATGAAGGGGAGTTTAAAACATTGAATTTTAGCCACCAAAACAAATCTGAGCACACAGCACACACAATTAAGAGTGGGTCAGCTTTTAGGAGCCAAGCCTTGCTAGTGTGCTGTGTAAAACCAAGCACTGCACAGAGCACTCCAAGCAAATGAGAAGACAGACTAACCTGTGGCTTAAAAAGAAACTTTGTGGAGTCAGGTCAAAACCTCAGGCGGTAGCAAAGAAAAGACAAACAAAAAAAAGGCCAAAGATTAAGTGTGAGAGGATAAATTAGTAGTAGAGGAAAAAGGAGAAAAACATGCTAAGAGGAATTTCCATTATTGTCCAAAAATAAGGTGTTGCTGTGCTCGTCTTATTTCCAAGATAGACAGAAATAGTTAATAGTTATCTGCATCATTCCAGCCTAAAGCAAGCTACTAAAAAAGAAAAGCAAATTATTGCAAATGAGCATCCCACTATTTTGGGAAAATTCAGTGACCTTAATTTCCCCACAGGGTGCCATTCAACTGCTGCTAAAGTCAGTGATGCCTTTTTCCATAACTGAACATAAATTTACTTTAAAACAACAACTAATAGAATTTGATTATGGCAACAAACTGAAAAAATGTACATTTTTATCACAGATATTGCCAAAGAATACACACAATACAAATTTATTTCTTACACCTTACCATCACTGAACCAATTGTAACATGTTATAAAATTAACTGCAGTTTAGACAATTAATTCTAATTAGTAATATTAAAGACATTCACATATTTATTTACTCATGAAGTGGAAGGGTTAGAAAAGAGTCTGTCCGTGATATATTGATCCTCCTGGTGCTATGAAGAGAATGTTAAAAAGGCTTTAAATATTTTCAATCATAAAACTCATTTTTCTATGCAAAGTAATTCCTTGACATAAGCAAACCACCAAGAACAGTACCTGTATCCATAAACAGCATGTTCATTTACACCAGAGCTAATGTTTCCTTTTGGTTACCAAAACTCATTTGCCCACCTTACAAAGAGAGGTTTACTATGAATAGAGGCACTCACATCAGATAAAAACTGCTTTCCAGTTATATAATAAAATAAACACCAATTAGTCATTTTAGTTTGAGAAACTTGTTAAACTACAAAAATATTAATTTGATGCAAAGTCTTCTACAACATTTTAAGTTCTACTAGTTCAGACTGGTAACAGCAGGTTAGTAGCAGTTAAGTGATGAACTGCAATTACACTTTGTTGAGGTAGTGTTACAGACAAGACAGCTTAACATTAAATAGTTCAGCAGCAAGTATTTGACAAACCAATGAGTTAGAGACAAATTTTGCCCTCTGAGAAGCTAAATGAAAAAGCAACAATAAAGCTTACAGAACTTAGCTCGTACAATTTGCCTTGAAGGCGGTAGATTGGTTCCCTGAAATAGCAAATTGCAAAAATGAAGTTTTATTTCAGAAACATTCTCTCATTCTTTTCAACTCCAAACAATCAACTTACAAACATCTGTTTATTATCTCTACAATAAAAGGTTCAGCAAAGTCCTTTATACCACAAGTAACCAAGTTTCAACATTGAATTTAAAACGCCAAGCTTTTTCTTCACTTCTTTAGAGAGAAAACATTCACTCAATTAAAAAATCATTCATTTTATTTGTGTATTTTTGAAGAGCCAGATAATTGGTTGCTTTTCCTTTTATGGGACACTCCAAAGTGATGACAGTCCTTGTGTTTGACACATGTTCCAGCACAGCTAGATAAGAAGGAAATCTCTCCTCAGAGGGGAGAGGCTGCTCTTTGAAGCTATTGCAGTGTTTGGACCTTCCAGGGCTTGTGTTTTGTTTTTTTTTTCATTTTAATCCAAACCATATATTATATCAAAAATGCCACTCATGTTGGTCAGGCTGTGGGGAACCATCAAATCCAAGAAGTTGCTGGATTATTTTAAGAAATATCCTGAAAATAACTAGCAATTTCTTGGTGAGAGGAAGAGATTGAATTTCTAGCTCCAAAAAGATGACTATAACTCTTGCCAAGAACTCTTGTCTACAGCAGCAGCAGAATAGGAGACTTTGTGAAATTTCAGGTTTATCGCTTGGATCTAAACTCAGTTGCCACATTTGAAATCTTTGACCAGGTGGTGAAACCTCCTGAGCATTGTTTGACCAAATTGCATGTGAAAGCATCAGGAAGATATACAATACTGGTAATTGAAGAAAATTTCATTGTCTTATTTTTAGTAATTTTTATTATGAAAATTTTTTATTTCATTCTCAAGTATATACTAGTTCCATAACAATTGTTTTTCTGTTTAAGACTTTGCAAAAACCTCAAAGTGAGCAGAAACTCTCCAAATTGTAACATTTTGCTTCTTTTCATCTCGTGTTAAGCAGAGGACTGATCCTGCCAAGTACTGAGAATCCCTCAGCCACACAAAAGCAGAGAGGGAAGGCAGGCTCAGGAGCACCAAGCACCTTGCAGAATCAATCCCATATTCTTACATGACAAAAAGAAACAAACAATTTCATTAATGAATCTCAGTGAAGATACTAATTAACCTGAGAGCATCAACCACTTATTCTTTGTTTATTTTGAGAAAGGCCTAGGGTACATAGTCAGCAACTGTGTGGTGTCAGCTGAAAGGTTTCAGAAGAGGTAAAGGCAAATCCACAGTTGGTTGCTGACTTGCCTTTCACTGCAGTTGAGCTGTGAACACATCAGGAGTAGCAAAACACACAAAGCACACACAGGCAAGTACTCACCAGCATTTGGGATTCTGAAATTCACAAGTTTGCAGTTAATGACAAAACACCGATGTGTAACATGAGGATTCAAGGCACTGAACAGCATGGGAGGGAAGACACTCACCAGCAGTGCAAGCAGCAGCAGAAATGCTAAACAGCAAATGATGATAACAATGGAAGTCAGGTGGCTTTGAAAAGTTCAGCAAAACAAGGCAATGAGGACACATTTATGTATGTTTGAAGCAAACAAAGGTAAATGATACACTTAAAACAGAAAATGCAGCCAAGAAAACCAAACAGCTTGGATTAACTTGCACATGCCATTATCCATTCTCTGTTAGGTGCCTACCTGATTTCCCACTGCACTTTTGTTAACCTGACTGCTTCTTTGTTGGGCACTGAGGGAAGCAGAGGAAAAGAGTTATGCTGAGGAAACTTGAACTAAGCCAGTTCCTGAGCAATAATTTTAGCAGTAATAGTTACTTTTGATCCCAGCAGAGAAAGCTAGATTAACACAGCAAAAGAAACACAGGAAAATCATTGCATATATGTGCATATTTCAACTGCTTTTCTACCTGATGATATTGGCCTGCTAGGGACAGAAGGGACATGCACAGCAGACAGCTCCTACCAATCATCCCTTTCACAACAACATCCTTCTTGCATTGGTAAAGGTTACTAAAAGCACAGAGAAATTATGGCTCATGTGGGTAACTTTGGAAACATTAGCCTCTATAAATATTCAGAAGAGACAAAAAGCAAGCCATTTCTGTTATTTAGAGCAGTACAACAAAATCCTCCCCTGCTGGAGGCTCCTTAATAGCTTTGTCTTGACAGTTTGTTTTGGATATTATTCTAATATTTATATGCACTTTGAGGGTGTAAATATAACCAATGGATGAAGCCTTCATAAAGCTGGTTCAAAGTTGAAATCTTGTAAGAATAGAGCACATTTGAAACTAAACCATATTTAAAATATTTTGCTCAATTCTTGAACTTTGGTAATCCCAGTTCCTGAAACAAAACACACTCCTGTCTCAAAACCAAACAAGTTGCCATTAATTCTAAAAGCATTTGCATTATGTGGCAGTTTGTGTTAGGCCACAAAATTAAAATATTGCTGGAAAGAAGGAGAAAAGCATTCCAAGAGCAGGCTTTGGCTACTCAGCCACCAGCCCTTCACTGGTGACAGGAAGTTTTGTTTGGATTAGATTATACCATTTCACCAGGCACTGATTCACTGAGGACAGAAGCATCCATATGGCAGCAGCTCCAAAGGCTGCTGTGAAAGAGAAAGACAGAGGTGTGCTTGGATCAGAGCCTGTGGCCAATCCTGCTGTTTGCTGCCCAGCTGCTGCTCCAAAGAATGGATGAAACACCCAACTCAGCCCTAGTCCAAATTCTGACCCTACCCTTTGGACCACACCATCAAACCACCAGTCCAGATGCTGTCTGGGAGATCCACAAGGATATTTATTCCTTGTGCCTGCTCACTGTGTTTAGCTTGATAATCCTGATCCTTTTGACCAAACAACACTGCATGTCCCTGGTGCAACATCTAAGTTTTCTGTTTTTCTTAATTTTATCACCTTAGAAAAGTTAATTATACCATTAACATCATACTAAGAAACCCATGCCTTTTAGAAATAGCCCAGCAATTGGTCTTCTATTTAATGTTCTAACACAAATTACTCTTCATGCAGATTGATGCATGTAGCTGTTCTTGAATTACACCAACTGCAAACAAACTCAAGCCCAGAATTTTGCCATTTGTTCAGCCAAACAAGACAAACATTAATATTCTAAGATTTCGCCATTTTACAACTATGCAAATTTGTTCTAAACACTGGCCTTGTTAAATTCCTCTCAAGACAATTTACATTGCACTGTACCTGCCTCAGGTCCTGCAGTGCTGCAGAGTAGTTTGTCATATTTTGTGCTCTCATTCTTATGGTTCACAGGACTTACACTGTTACTGCAGCTGCATGAGACAAGGGGCTAGAAGGCTCAGCAGAGGAAAGGAAACACCAGGGAATCTGGGGAATCTGTAGTCCCGGATGTTTGGATACTGCAGAAGCCCCTGTTCTACACAACTTGTTTCATTTCCCAGTTCTAACACAACTGCTGTAACAATAATACACTTATAGTTTCAAATTAGTATTTTCCTCCATTTGTCTCATTAGTGAATATATTTTAAATTCTTCTTTGCTATCCAAACTTTCTCTTTTAATTGAGCAGAAGTCAACAAGGTTACTTTCCTTCCCATCTGTTCCAACCTAGAGAAACCCTTGCTTAAACTTACCAGTGAACTCAAGCCAAGAGTCACTTGTTATCTGCTTATGCCCCATACACAGCACTTGGGATTTCCAGATCTCAGCTGGCAAAAGAGGAAGCAGCTTTCCCAAGAAATTGAACTTGGGAATTGTAAAGACACAGCAGCAAGGACCATGGAGGCTGCAGGAGCAACAACCATGAGGGGAATTTTTCCAGGGGAGAAACATCATGCAATAAGTACAGATACACCTGGAACTCCAAAATCCAGTACTATAAAATATGGAAAGTTTCAACTCGACACAAGGAAAAGTCTTTTCATAGTGAGGTGAGGCAAGCATTGGAACAGGCTAGCATAGAAAGGCTGGAGAATGTCCAATTTTGGGAATCCTCCAGATCTGATTGGACAAAATCCTGAGAAACCTGGTCTGAACTCAGCAGGACCCTCCTCTGAGCAGGAGGTGGGACTATGTGACTTCCCAAGGTCACAACACACACCATGAATATACATAGAGTGTTTTTAGCAGCCTTTTTCCTGTCAGAAAAGGATGAAGAGTAGTAAATAGCAGGCAGGTTGTTATCTTGACCTCTAGAAGGCCACCATTCCTACAACATCCTGTTATTTGTCAAGAGAACTGATAACAATATCTAGGACCCACAAACAACTCTAGAGAAAGTTGCTCAAACCAAACACATAAACAGTGCCTGCCTTTGCTTTCTCCCCTTTCAGCTCACTGAACTCCATGTTTTAAACCTTCAAGGCACACTGCCAAAGATGTGCACCTTCCTTCACAGTGCTAACTACAATTGGCCACAGTCAAATACTACTGTGGTGCCCAAATTTGCTGCCAGCATCTCACACAGTCCAAACCTGTTGTGATTCCAATCACTGTTATGGCAAATACAGCATGAATGTGTCTGAAGGAACATTTATTCTTCAAAGAGTGAAGACATCTTCTATGTTTTTACTAGTGTCAAAATGTTAGTATGAAGTCCCTGAGGCACAAATTGCTGGAAACTGAGGGGGAACATTCTGGAAAATATTCTCACAGCCTTTCAATTAAGCGAGGAGAACGTCAAACCAGGCCCTGCAGGGCATTCTGCTACTATTATTCTCTGCAGCCAAACAGCAGGCACACTTAGAATTCAGTGACATCCATTATTCTGAGCAAAACTGTTTCACACAGAATCACAGCTCCCAAAGTATGCATCAATAACAATGTGGAAAGACCACCAATATCCATTTCTGTGTCCTGAAACGTGTGTAACTCCAGACTAAGACATAAAGCTCCAGCTTCAGTGAAACCAGGCTTGTGAACTGGGTGAAGACTCCCCTGCAACTGGGACAGACTTCAACATTGTGGCTATTGAGAAAGAGCATGGTCCTGCATGTCTGGGACTCTGCAGCCTGGATCTTCACTGACATACTTCAGGAATTGTGTTCTGAGCATAAAAAAAAGCCAAGCAAATAAACAAAAAAGCCTGGCAGTGTTTTTACAACAAATTTTCCATGTACTTACTTTGCAAAGCCAATGAAGTCTTCATGGTTGGTGTTGATATAAGAAACCTGGATATCAATGAGCAGCAGCATCTATTATGGGAGACAGGAGAGCAAAACAGGATGGGTAAGGTGGAAGAAAGAGATTGAAGAAAAGGAAGGAAGAAAAAAAACAGAACTCTTGAGTCTCTGCATTACTGAATATTGTTTTCATAATTGTTCAAGCCAAAAGCAATATTTTCTAAATTCCACTGCTTCTGTTTCTGTGCTTATTTAATAAGTTAGACTACAGAAGTTCTATTCCTTCTTCCTACTTTTTTCCTAACAGACCTCATTTTTCACCTTCTTGGCCCTTGTCCATTCCATTAAGATCAATCATACACAGGCAGAGAGAACACATAGATTCAAGCTCTGCATTTTGCAAGTTAAGCAAATTCTGCCTATCTGGAGCATTCCAGCCAAGCAGCAAGGAACCTAAACCTTAAACCTAAAATCCATATACTTCCACTTTATTTGCCACACAAAGAAGTGATAAATAATCCAGTCCTGATCCAGAAAATGTCCAGCCCAGCCATTCTATGTGCATATCTGGATTAAGAGATGGGCTATCAACACAATGATTTGGGTACTTATCATTTGTCAGTCTTTCAGCAACCCACAGAGAATTTGATTTGCCCTGACAATCTAACTCAGCAAAGAACTTGCTAAGATATCTGCAAAAAATTCCCTCCCACCCTCCAAGAGGCTCTGGAATATGCAGGAGACTGCACTTCACCCCTGTCTTTTCAGACTTCCATTTACCAGAGGGAGCAAGGAAGGAACCTATTGTTACCAAATGGTGGCATTTCATCCCTTCAACCTTATTTCTGCACAGTTCCTCAAATGCAGCATCACTCCCAAATTCCTCACAATTCCCAGAAGATATTAAATGCCCCACTTAGACTCTAATCCCCACTATATTTTTGCTCCATCTCTTACCTCTGAAGGATAACTGCTAACATCATAAATAATGATGTGAATGTGACAATAACCTATTTGGTCAATTTTTGGCATTTACAGAAAGCCCATATTTTGCTCTTTGTTCTGAGAAATAATCAGATATGTGCATACAATGAAGAACAGGAAAATAAAACTCAATTATTTTAAACAACTTGTATTTTCTCCAAAATCTTGAGATAACAGTGTTCTGACTACAACTCCCTGCAAGTACAAGCTCAGCTAATAATTTTTTGTTGAATTATTTTATGACTACATTTGCAGCACAGATTAAAGCAGCAGGAGGTGCTGCACAGCTCCCTAACTTGCACAGGGACAGGCCTAGGGAGCCAGGAGTCCAGAACAGCTTAGGAATTCTGCTGAGCTCATCTTCCCAAAATATTTCTATTGTCACACTCTGCACTCTCCAGACAATAATTCCAAATCCTTTCCACTGGATTTTCTCACATGTAATCTCAGATTTGCAGTTTCCTGGATTTGGAATGTTTGGCTAAGTGATGAATGCTTTAACCAAATTTCTCTGAATTTTAATTTGGTTTTTAGCTTTTTTTGTACTTGAAGGAAAGCTTCTCACTCTCTCATGGGTCCCAGTACAATTGCTTGTGAGCCTCACTGTAATTAGGGTGTGGGTGCATGGGATGGGTATGTTAAAAACACCTGGAAACAAAGCAGAAATAAGCTATTCCAGTGTGCATCTGTTTAATCAATATTGATTTCCCACAAACAGCTCTAGTGTCCCAGCTAACAAGTTGACACACTGGCACAGGAACAAGCCAACACTATTTAACCTTTCTGTAACAATTCTAGTCCCTATCAAAGCTCAGTGGTAAAGAAGCAAATTTTTTCTTCTCTAAAATGTGCAACCTATTTTTAAAAAATGAAATCTTTACTGTCCTACTGCACTTTGGATGTAAGAGCACTTCTTCCCCAAACTGTCACATCTCCTATTTATTCTCACCTGGTCCTTGGTTTTCTCTTCTCTTTCACGAATGTAGCCAGCAACAATTCTTTCTGTTTCCTCACACAACCTTGGATATGTTGCCAACTGAAACACAAAATTAATAGAAATTTACACCTGCAGAGAGGCTTCAGTGGAATACAAACAGGGAAGAAAGCAAATATTATAAATGCTTGGGACTCAAAGTTAAGCACACTACAAACAAAGCAAGCCTTACTTGCTGTTGTTCAGGGACTGCAGAGACCTAAACCCTTGGATTGTTGCTGTTCCTTTCCTCCAGGGAATACTGAGAAAAATACACTTTGGACATATGAAACACAGTCTATCTGGGGTGAGGTTTCTCTCTCTTCTACTGGGCCCAATTCCAGAGTGGTGCTCTAAATGATTTCCAAACTTCTTGTTTTTAAAGGCTCCACCTTGTGGCAACATCTTTACATAACAATATTGAAAAAAGCAAGATACAGTGCTAAATTTGGCAAATACCACTGGGAAGAGCATCTGCACCGTTAATTTAGGTGACATGTATTCCAGACTTTGACAAAAGTGAAAAAAACCTGGAAACTCTGCTGAAAAGATACCAGAGAATCTGCTTCTCTATGTTTTTTGTCTTTCAGGTTTTAAGAAATATTTCCTTTGAAATAAAAAATTGGGATTTTTTTCAGAAAAAATGCCAGAGGATATTTCTCAACAAGCTCATCATAGCTGAGCTCACATCCCAGAATCACTCCTGTGCTTGCTATTATGGGGCACCCTGCACTGGGATGGTGGGACAGGCAGATGGACAGGTGAGAGTGCAAAAGCAGCCAGTCAGCTAAGAAGTGAAAACACGGTTTTAAGGAGGAAACTGAGGGCACCTCTTGACTCAAAAACACCTCTCACCATAAGAATAAAAACAAAGGAATCAAAAAAATTAACTTTTCCATCATTACGTTATTCTGAGCACTTTGCAGAAGTTGTAATTAATTACCTGAGGAAGTCCTACTCTGCCTTTATATTATGTACTATTCCATTGCATTTTACTTACATTACCAGATCTATGTGCAAGTTACCTTTTTAGTGCACTTCTTGACAGTGTTGATTAACTCTTGCATCACCAGATCCACACTTTTTAAGCAAGGTCCTTTCAGCTTAACGATCTGTTTTTTAACAATGGCTTCAAACGCCATATCTGGAGTGAACAAACCTGTTCTGTGGACATAAAAGAATATGTAAGACAGTAATAAAAACATCAGGCAAGGAAGATTTTTTTTTTACTAAATCACTCAAATCTTCACTTTCAGAGCTGAGTAATAATCCCTACAAAAACAGGCTTCCACAGAGCTAAATTTGCTTCTTTCTCAAAGGAAGTATCATTCTGAGTAAGAATATACTCAGAATATAAGACTAAAAGTAGAAACATGCTTGAAAGATGAAACTCCTTCAAGAGGACTGCAAGAACACTAAGGAGTATTGCTATAGTGCAGTAAAGCCTCAGCAGAAGCGCCATCAAACCTTAGGGATGAGTGGCAGCTGCAAGCGCTCCATGCACAATCCCTTGCACAGCAAATCCATCAGAATCCTATGGCTGCACTTTCCACTCACACCAGAAAACGAGGATTTGTTACTCAAGAGTCCAACGTGGAGAATTTCCAGTTGGTCACTGCAGAGTAAATGAATCTATAAACAGCTACTCCAGAGAACCAGCCCTAAACAAATGGGCCTTGCTTATCTTTAAACACTCTTTTCCAAGGTCTACCTTGCCAGATAAATTATATAAAAAACAAAACTATAAAAGCACATCCAAAATTATCATTTCACTTTGATAAAGCAAGACCTCTCCAGCAATCAAGCAAGGAAAGTTCAAATCCTGCACCACAGCTACCATTGTCAACCATCTGAGAATTTACCCATCAAGTAACACAAGAAACATTTCCCAAAACTGAGAACAACAAAGCTTGTAAGCAATCCTTTGGGAAGATATTCCATCTGTACCATGAGACCAGGCAAAAAAACATGGGAGCACTTGCCTGATGCCATGTATGTTCTTGATGGCATAACTTATCTCTCTCCTCAGCTCCTTCTCATTGAATTCCATCTAGAGGAACAGCAGCACACAAGAGCACATCAGGGGAAGGTTTCAACAAAACAGAAAATATCCCCTCTCCCTCTACAACCATAACACAAACAAGTTTAGCTGTTAAAATAGTAATTTCTAATTACACCAAACAATGCATAAACATTAAAATGTTTTAGAACTAAGGCAACAGGCAGCAGTAAATATTGTTGAAAATCACATACTCTTCCATTCCAGATATATCAACAGCTGGAATGATTTTGAAGAGTTGACAGAATAAGCCAGAAACAGGATTTGGAAGACTCTACTCTTTTTTTTTTAAGCTGGTTTCTCAAAGTGGTGTAACTTCTGTGATTATGATCTGTTTATCCTTCCCTTCCCATTCTACAGTTTTCAACTAAATTTAAGAGAGGAGTTGTCCCAGTTATGAAGTTATAAAGCTTTTCTTCAAGTTTCTTGGAAGGCAGCTGGCTGAAAGAGAAGTCAGTGTTGTCACAAATCAAAGGGTCATTACCTAGGTCAAACCATCATAGAATGATTTAGGTTGGAAGGGACCTAAAGCGCTATTTTCCATTACTCTCATTTTAATAGATACCAGCTACTTGAACACAAGTCAAATTGACCAACTGTAACTGCCTGCCTGCCCAATTTAACCAAAGAAAGATGCCATCTGTGATAAAACAATAGGAGAGCACAGAAAATACTATGAAATAGGATTATAATTATTTTCTCTTTCTTGTATTTTAGAATTCTTAGCATGTCTCAGTGTCCAATCCTAGAAATTAAGCCAAATGTCTCAATTATAACTTCATGTAATTTCTTCCACAGTTAAAAGCATATTCTTTCAATCAGATCTTTGCTTGGCTACACTACTATCAGTATGAACATAAAGAAACATAAATAAAATAAAGCACATCAGCAAGATGGATAAATACCTTCACAAGTTCAAAGGGAAAACGTTCATGGAAAATACGATTGATTTTGGCACCTCCTGAAAGCTCCAGCGTATCAACTTGATCTCCTGATCCTTCAATTCTTTTTTCAAAGTCCACTGAAAACTGCTGTACCATCCTAAATGGCAAAGGAGGGGAGGAAAGGAAAAAAGAACAAACAAAACCTGGAACAATTTAAGCATATTAACTACCAACTCTTATTTCAGTACTGCCTATTCAAACATATTTAACAATTGCTAAAAGTATCTGTACAAGTGATTGAGCCAAGTTGCCAATCCATAGAATCCCTATCTACCCACATCCCCCTGCATCCCTTGTCTAATAGCATGATGTGAATCCACTGCTGCAAAATTCAGAAGAGATTGGGAAGGAACTTCTTTTCCCCATGCCAAAAGGCAAGCCCAAGAACCAGTACTAACATGGTGATGTGCAAGTACCACAAGCTCCAGCTTACTTGGCTCTGCTTTGACTTCTGCAGCATTCAGAGAAACCCACAGGAGAGTTCTCCCAGTCATGGAAAAGTCAAAGGTGATGTCCCTCTGTTTTTGCATCTGGAGTAAAGTCTCAAGGAACTGTCTACTCTTTTGGGCACAGTTGTTACAAAAATAAGGAGTAAATCAGAGTCTTCATCTGGCTCAAGAAAGCCTCTCTAGTTCAGCTGATTACTTTTCCCTCCAAATTCCAAAGTTTTAGTTGGAGAATGAATCCAGCCCCAAACATACACATAGCACAATCCACTGTTCTTACCATCTATCCCAGAGAAATTCAAATGCTGAAAAGCACAGAAATCAGTCAAAGCAGGAATGTGACAACAAGCATATAAGAGAGAAGAGCTAAGTACATTTTACACTTCTTCCTTCACATGCTCCCTCTCTAATAGGTAAATTTTATTTGCATATAAACACAGAGGGCTGCAACTGAAGAAAAAAAAAAAAAGGAGAGCCAAAATGGCAGCTCTTCCAGGTGAAAAGATAGGCAGTACTGAGTATGCAGCACCCTGGAAACAGGCCAAGGAAGGAAGGAAGCAGATGCAGCAAAGCAGCAGCTGCTAACTGGTGCTCAGTCCATAACATCAGCATTGTCCTTTCTCCCTGGTGCTAAATCCACAATCAAGACAGGGCTGGGATTCCACCTGCACTTGATTCCAAGTCAGATGAACAAAGATCTCTGTTCCATGGCTGATATCAAAGTCTCATCAGACTGACTTATTTTGTGGATGAGACCCAAACCAGACGGTGACTTCAACAGTGAAAAATCAGTTCAGAATTGGTGATGATAATCCCCAAGAATGTGCCTTGCTGTTTTCTGAAAGCACAAGAAACTTTTACTGACAACTCCTGCAGCAAAGATCTCTGGGTCTTGGGTGCACAAAAGATGAAGGACGACCATCTTTGATTAATTTTGATCTTGCCATCTCTAGGTTCTTTTGGACAGCCAGGCTTTTATACTAGAAAAAGAAACATTCTTTATTCTTCTTCCAGCCTCCTTATCTTACAGACTTCCAATACAATGTCTCTCTCCTGTTGAGGTCATCTTTTTGGCAGACAGAAAAATATGTCTACACAATCAGAAGCAGTTTTTTACCTTTGATCATCTCTGTTGCCCATCTTCATGCTTTTTTCTTGTTCTGTTTTCTCCCTTTTCTAGGATTACTAAAATTAATTTAGGAAAAATTCTGTTGAAATTGTAGAATAAATAAAGTGTAAGTGTTCTGGAGCATCAAACACAGAAACCTTTGGATCTTGTTTAAAGAATCTTTAACAATATCCTAATGTTTAAATTTAAACCAATCAGACAGAAGGGGCAAAAAGGCAAAACAAACCCATTTGAAGTGGAAAAGCAGACAAAAGACACTCACTGCAACAGGGCTTTTGTTTTTCTGGTGGGATCTTCTGGTCTGAAGTTTTTGTACACCTCTACTTCATGTTCTATAGAAAGCAGCTGGCTCTGGAGTTTGCTTCTGAAGGCTGGCAGGGTATCCCGGATATGATTGGTAAGTTGCTAAAAAGCAAATAAAAATCTTTTTAATACTGTCAAAAAGATGAAAGCAGGAGCACAATCATTTCCTTCTGACTGCCAACCATATCAGCCATGACCTGTGCCAGTTTACCAGTGCTGTTCCTTTTGATCTCTGATGCAATGGAGACTTTTAAAGAACAATTCAATATTCCTGGTGCACACAAAATTCCTTCATCTTCTAACTCACTAAGCCCTGTTACTACACACCTGTTTACTGACACCTGAAAAAGTTACACATACTACATGGGTAATTTAAATTACCTCTCATCTCTCTGTGCTGATGCCACACTCCCATTTTGCTGCTTTTCTTAAGGGTGTTTCACAATTCCCTACATATTTATTCAGCACAACAACTGCTACAGCCACAAGGAAAAGTGGGAAAGAAAGATAATCTGAGCACTCACAGCATGTTTTTACACACATATATATATGTTTTAATATGTTAGGACAGCACTATGACTTACCTGTGCTGTAATTTTCTCAGGTATTGTACACATTCCTCAATTAAAAGCAAACCAGACTTCTTCCACTATTCCCCAAACTCCCTCCCAACCCCAGCCAGACAAGTTATACATTTAAACTTTCATACACCAAAAGATATAAACTCATGTTTGAACTTGCTGAGCAGACAAAGCACAAAATCAAAAGCTGGAGTTTCCCTGGAGCACCACCTTGTGGATACAAAGAAACTGAAATATTACCTGAAACACAAAAGTTCCCCAATATCTTGAGGACAGAACTTATGTAGATTTTCCCATATATAACATTCTACACACAGTGAAAGCAACAGAAGATCAACAGTTCCTACTGAAGTAGGTAAATATTGAAAACAGCTCTCAAAAAAGTTAACAGCATAGAAAGAGTCAGGACACACAAGACAGTTGAAAGGTATGTGCAGCTTGTGTTTCAGTCTCAAAACTGAGACATATGGATTAAACTTTCAAGACGTAAAACAAGGCAAAAATTCTAAACACAGAAAGAAATTCATGGTACAAGGAATTTCTTGCATCAAGATGAAGATTTTGGCTCTGAAGCACAAATAAATGGCATTTGTAGTCTTTTTGAGCAAGCTCAGAGCATTTCGTAGCCTGGTTTTGCAGTTACAGCTGCAAAGTCACTGCAGCAAAAAATTAATCAGAGCAGCCATTTAGTTTTCTACTTTAACCAGGAACATTCCAGCTGTTTCCAGCTGCTGTCCAATATGGACAAAGCCAGGCTGACCTGGTCTTTGTCTATTCCAGAGGAAAAGCTGCAATTTGACAGTGAGCTGCAAAAAACAGTATCAAGTTTGACTTGCAGGAATACCAAAAATACTGGGCAGCTGACAAGTTAAATGTAACAATTGAAGAATAGGATGGTATACTTCCAGGGAGGGAAGCAAATCTTGATTTTGATGTTCATATTCAGTATTCTAAAGAACAGGGAAGTGCAGAACTGCCAGCAAAAGTCAGAAACTACAACTCACAGCAAGCTTTTGTATCTACATGCAATATGCAGCTTTGTTTTTATCTTGTGCAAATTAAAAACACTGAAAGCAGGAAAGTATGAGTGAGGTTGAGAGACCAACTTCATTTTAATACAGTTTTAATATTGGCCCTATCATTCAAAGCTGAAACAAAGGTTTCAGGTCTTACCTGGTTTAGAACTTTCTGGAGATAGGGTGTTCCCATCCGATCTGCCATGTGCCTGTAGGATGGGTGGGAAAGAAAGAATTTCCTTTCTGCTAGAAGAGCTGCTTTTATGTCCTTCTTCCCATCAATGTCCTTCTGGCTTCTGTTTACAACACCAATATAACCTAAAACAAGACAAAACCAATAGGTAAATCAATGCAGCTATTGCCTGAACCAGTGAATTCATCTTAAATAGAACCAGACTGTCTCAGCTCAAACAAAACTTTCCAATTCAGGCATTTCAGATCATGTCTACAAGTAAAATAGTAACCTTAACACTGCCTAAATTGTTCATTCTGTTTACCTATAGCAGATAGACTTCCTTTAGATCACCAATTCAAACAGAGAATATCTGAAATTCTGGTGAAGCCTAAAGAAACCAAAATAAACAAACAAAAATCCAAAATAAAACTGAAATACACACAGAGGTCTATGCAGATAAATGATATGACATTAACAAAATACAAAAAAAAAATTCTTCTCATTTGCTGGACCAACTTGTTCCATGGGAGGAGACAGTAAATAATCAATAAATGATAACTAGAATCAAAATTATTGATATTATTAACAGAATGAGCAAATGTGGCAGTAGCTGCTAGAACATGGAAAATTCCTGGCAAGGATCAAAACTGGTTTCCAGTGAGATTACCAAGCTCTGGTGCTTTCTTCTGTCATATACAAAGAAAAAAAACATTTTTTTGTTACAAGGAACCTGGCAGAAAAGAAAAATATTGGCTAGTGAGATGTGCTGGTATTACACTGCATATTCCAGAGGAAGCAAGGATTTTCCAGGTCCAGAAAGGACATTTTTAGCACAGCCACCTTTATGTTTGCTGACTAGATAACTGCAAAACAAGGAACACATCAAGTCCAGCATAACCTTTGATTTATCTCCAGGACTCCCAAACACCATCCTTCTCCAAAGCACTTTCTGGACTGCAAAGAGTAAAGGCAAGTGAACATTCTCACCTCTACGAAGAGGGAGGAGTTTGTTTTCTAGAACTTCTCTTGCATCTGTTCCTTCATCCATCAGATCCAATTTTGTGATCACACCAATGGTTCTAAGGCCTGACCAGAGTGGAAGCAGGAGGAAAAAGTTATTGAAGAATTATTTAGAGTCAGAAGAACAATTACACCTTACAATTATGTTACAACATATCTGTGCCCTTCTCAAAGCTATCACACAATAACAGCTCCAACCCAAGTTATATGTCTGGAAAAGCAGGGAACATAATTGCCAGTGCTGAAATGTGTTCCTCAAAACTCTTTAACAAGGCTCAGCATCCCTACAATATGCCTGTACAAAATTTATGCTGTCAGTATCCAGAAATCCCATCAGCACCATCCCCTATTTTGCCCAGTACTACAAAAATTCATAGATAAGTGTCACAGACATCTTTTATGGAAAATCCTTTCCTTAGGATTTTTCCTCCTGAGAAGCTGAGAGGTCTCAGGAACAAAATGTAAACATTGATTATCTGCTGCTGTGGAATGCAACAGGTGCATCTGTGATTGGCCCATCTTGGATGTTTGTAATTAATGGCCAATCACAGTCAGCTGGCTCAGAGAGTCTGGGACAGCTACCTTTGTTATCATTCATTCTGATTCTATTCTATTCTTAGCTAGCCTTCCGAGATGAAACCTTTTCTTCTATTCTTTTAGTATAGTTCTAATGTAATATATATCAGAAAATAATAAATCAAGCCTTCTGAAATATGGAGTCAGATCTCTGTCTCTTCCCTCATCCTAAGACCCCTGTGATTACAGTCACAGATAGGCACTGCTCCACTAGCTTATAAGTGATAGTGACAATATTTTAAAACTCATTTACAGCAACATTACCTAAACAATACTGAGCTAACTGTGATATTGTGATGCTGAAGATTGTGAAAATGTAAACAGATATCTATATTACATATTATAAATTACAGAATTTCCTACAAGAGTTGGTCTGTTGTTTTCAACTATGTTGTTACACTTGAGAACAAAAAGTGATGACATTCAATCCTGCTTACCCTGAGGGTCCACCTCCTTTGCCAGCTTCAGAGCATCTGAGTTGGCCAGGTCAGTGTTAGCTGGAGTCACAGCCAGGATCAGGCAGTTCTCTCTGGAGATGAACTGCATTATCATGTCTCTGATCTGCTGCTCAATGTCTGGAGGCTGATCCCCCACTGGCACTTTAGTGATTCCCGGCAAATCAATAAGGGTCAGGCTTAAGACTACATGGACAAGATGGATCATAAACTGGTTAGAACACCACACATGGCAAAGGGGACAACACAGCCATGGCTGCACACAAGTTTTGGTCACATAAAACCCCACAGAACTACCTAGGTCAACAGTTGTCAACAGTTCAGACAACATGCCTGACAATCTGCAAAAACTTGTTTCCCCACTGGTCTTACATTTCTGGATTTATTAGTACTATTTAATATTAATATTTAAAATACTGCAACTGGTATAAATTGATACTTATATCAAATATCCTTGAGGGCTCTAAGACAAATTAACATGGTTTTCTGAGCTTAGTCCAACAACAGGAGCACAGGCAACAGATCACTCTCATTGCATCCTCCAAATAAACCAAAACTATTGTTTGGATTATTTATTAAAATATAGTGTGTCTCTGACCATGTTTTCAATCATGTCTCTAATTAAGAAATTCCCAAAAAACAATCAATAGTTAGCCTAACTTAGACAGCAAAACTGTTATTAAGGGGCTTGGGGATATATTGCTGGTTTGGGAGGTTTTTTTGTTGTTTTTTTTTTAATCTGTAACATCTTCAGAAAAGTCAGAAAGATTAAAAAATTGATCTATTAAGAAAACCTGGTTTGCTTTGATATGATTTCCCTAGTAAGGGCCACAGTGCAAACAAGGGGCATCCTGGCTTGGGGTAAGCAGGCATCCTTTAGCTAAATGACAAAAATGCAATTCCTAGGAAGGAAATACCAGAAGTGTAGTTGGAGTCTGGTTAATATAGACAACCATGGCTGAACTAAAAGATTCATCCTAATAAAGCAAAGCAAGAGGTAGTAAATTTTCACTTTCTCCTGGAGTCAGCATGTTCAACAAACAAGCTTTGAGGCAGGGGATTTAGTTGGGCTTCTCTGCAGCTAGAAAAATCATGCTTCAGTCAAACACACCACTTCTGTCCTATATCAAAGACAATTTCAATGGAAAACATTTTCTCTAGATTGTCTTCATTAAGCTGGGCAGATGGCAGCCAGAGGAACCCACTTTGATATATACAGGGGGTCTTCACCAGAAAGCAACTTCAAACACTGTTATTGTCTCAATATATTTTTAGTGACAGCAAACAATAAATTTTCAGTAAGGCAGGGAGACACAGAGACTTTCTAGATCAGGGAATTCCTCTGGAGAGTGCCAAAAAGAAGTTTTATTACAAGTCCCATTACTGGTCTTTACTAACTCAGCCTCAAACCTTTTCCAGCCCAGATCAGGCAATAAGAGCAGATACAAAAGGTGATGAGCTACATAATATGTTTTTATGACATAAATGTAAAGTAGAATAATTTTACCTACCATGTGGAGAATATATTCTTAAATTAATAGGAACTGAAGAAATGCCTTTGTTCATTCCTGTTACTCTATCTGTTTCAACTTCAATTTCCTGACGAACTTCATCAAAATCAGTAAATTTCTTCCCTTTGCAGTGTAGAAATTCAGCATACTCTGTCAAGAATACCAACAACAACTCTGTATTTCACAGGCTCATTGACTTGCACACCCACTTTCAAGCCCCCAGTGTTCTTCAGATGTGTGGGCACAAAAGTTGGTCATCATGGCTATCAGAGAAGATTATTATGACTGCACAGATGAAAACCAGCCCTCAACAAGAAAGGCTCAGTTAAAAGTCAAGTTGACTGGATATGATTTATTGCTCCCATCTTCAGCACATCATCTTCTGGAACAACTGAATCTTTCAATTAGCTGCCATTTACAGTAATAGAATAGGGAACAGATTAAGAATGAGATTCTGAGTTTTCATCTGATCTCATTTGCCTGTAATACATCCTAAATGGAAAAGTAATTCAAATTCTGTAACAGGAAAGATTTTTAGCATTTGCTTCAAAAACTTTGATTCCATTTTACATATGAATTTAGTAAAGGAATTCTGTAAATTTTTACAAGTTCCAAATGAAAATAAGATCACTTAAAAATACTGTAATGTTTTTAACACAGCTTCTAATTTCCTAAAAGTGTCCTGTAGTCTAAATATGAATCATGTTTACAAGTTTGCAAAAATGTCCATAGAAATAGCTGTGATTTTGCTGAAGTGGGACAACACAAATAATTCCTAAGCCTTTAATTTTATACAAGCTGCTGTTTTACCTTAGAAAAGCATTGACCAGGAATCAGAGACAGATAATTTGTTAAATTCACACTTGACACTTAGTCCCTGTTTTGACTTTTGAATCCAAATACTGATACAAATCATTGCAACCTTTTTGGTTGCCTGCATAACCAAAAGCACATCCCAGGATTTTAAAACTGGAGTTTCTTCCTTTAAAGCAGAACACAAAGGTTTATCTACATAGTGAGGCTGCCATCAGAAATGATGACAGAAACAGCAATTCCAGACGGCAGCTCAAGTCCTGCCCCCAGCAAGTCAGAGCTGTAGGCCTGGGGAAAGGCTGAAAAGATTTGTGCACATTCCAGTTCATTTCATCCTGCAATGGAGGCCTGATCCCAAAGCTCCCTTCAGAAGTTTCTTCCCCAGAAAATGTTCCTTGGTAACAAGCCCAGATACCCAGTGCAAAGAGCTTGCTTGGTACCCAAAGAACAGCAGCTGAGAACACCAAATGTGAGAATATGCATTAAAAGAGGATCTTATGTGTCAGTACTGAAGCTGGCTCCCCAGAAGTCACTTTGTTATTATTAATGACAGAGCTGTTAAAAAAGTAACAATAGTCAAAACTACAATAAATAGTTAAAGCAAACTGACAGAAAAAAAGGACAGAGTGAAGGGGAAAACATCAAATACCCACCTGTCTGTCCTAAAATATCATAATCCCTCCAGATTCAGTGTGTGAGCAACAGGGAAACTCACCCTAATGTAAAAATACATTATTTCTTTTAAAAACAAGACAGTACCTAAAAATAAGCACCTTATTTTATATCCTTTTTTCAGCTCCAGCAGCAAAATTATAATGAATGGTAGTTTTGTTTCATTATCCACCATTTATTAAAGAAACAAAGCAGGGAATATTCAAATATTTCAAAAATAAAAATAACATGATGCACAAAAGAAAATATCTCAGTTGAGAATTTACATTTGTAAAATTTGTCATCTCAAGGCTGGCAAATAGATACCTAATGAAAAAAAAAGAGCTGGCAAGTGGTACATATTTTATCCCACCTCTTCATGCACAGCTCCTAGCATAAAACATACATATTCTTCTGGGTTCATGTTCATCAAATCTCCTTGCCCCTGGTGCCATCTGTGGTGCCAGCAGGGCTGAAGGAATGAACTCCAGGGTGGTTCCTAACCTGGAATAAGAATTCCAAGGGACAAGCAGAGCTTTGTTCTGCTCCTTTCAGCCCTCAGCCTGCCCTTGGCAGTGATGCCTTCAGCCAGGCTGCAGAAGCACATGCTTTAATGCAATCTTCACTTTCCAGCTTTCGTGCTCAGAAGAACACTGGGAAAATGGTTTATTTATGGTTTTGTGGGAATGGACATAAAGCTAGGCAAGAAAAAGTGATCCTGACTGACATCTAGTTTCAGACATGGATTTTTGGTATAAAACTGAAGTTACATTAAGAACAATTAGATACAAAATTAAAACAGTCCTTGCATGCAAAATAAGTCTTTTTTTTTTCCCCAGACTCATTAAAAGCACCTTGGATAACATAAAATTAAAAGGCTACCAGAGCATAGTTCCTTCAGTGCATCCACAAGTTATTAATTATTTCTTCAGTTATGATTAAATTAGACAAATCATCCAAACTAGTGGTATGGTATCATATCTTTAAAATGTGATTTCATCTTTTAAAATCTTTTTTCTTCTCAGTTATATCTCTGTTAGCTTTTATGATTCAATCTAGCACAATAATATACTGTTATGAGCACTAAACAGCCATTGCTATTCTCAAACTATTTAAATTCTATAAACACTTGAGATATTTCATAAATTTGTCTCTAAGCTAAAGAGAGCCAATGGCAAGGATCAGCCCTTAGGAGTACATCAGGGATGTTTTGGAAAACATCCTTGATCCACATCAGGCTGAGCCCAAGAGCTTACAAAGCCCAAAGATTTTACTCTGTACAGAATAATCTGTTATTAGAGGTCAGGAATTCACCAGGATCAGAGCCCTGGATTCAGAACTGCTCCCAGACTGATTTCAAGCAGAGCTGCTCCAAGTTGGTGGCAGTATCCAGTGCAGAGTATTCAAAAGGGACTGAAAGTGTTCCAAAAAGTGGTTCATTAAATTGTAGGCCTGTAGCAAGCATTTTAAATGTAGGCAGCACAGGAGGAGTATCTGCTATTACTGCCCCTTGGGGAGGTATCACTCAAGCAACAACACTTTTTACCTTCAATAAAGCATCTCCCAAAGCCTCAGAACTCTTTCCAAAAGAGTGATTTCAAGAGGGTGTTTTAAAAACCTGCAAATAAACATCAGCAGCCAAAGTACTTCACCTTTTCTTTGATGATGGACAGCTTTTTCTGAACAAAGTAAATGCAGTTAAGTGAATCTAGACCATGGCAAATCTTATTCAATGGTGCTTCCTTGAAAAGAGAGGAAGTATCAAAAGCCCTTGTCCTATCCAATCTACAATCCCCCTTCTGCTTTGCCATTTCTGGAGCTTTTCTAACAAGATGAAGATGAAATACTCAAAACTGAGTTATTCCACAGCTAACCTTCAAGCAGAAAGGCCCTAAGAAACAGAAGTACCCTGGCATTTCCTGAAGCTAAAACAAAAAATCCTGGCAATGCAGAGAATGACAAGAATATCATAGCAGAAGATATTAAACATAGAAAACAGTGCATATTTGATAAAGTAACTACCAAAGATAGCAGGTCACACTCTTAGGGGCAGTGAAATGGTTCATTAGAAGGGCAGACACTTGTACCAGAGGAGGAAAAGCATTCTTTTGGATGAAATAATCTTCCACAACCTTGGAAGTTTTTGTTTGTAGAAGGAATTTCCCTCTGTTCTTTCAACCATTTCCTATGGATGATGCTTTCTGTAGTTCCAAGCCCTCACACAGCCTTCCTCCAGGCATTTTTTCCTAATTTTACAGAGGTAGAGCTCCCACCAGAGCTCTCTCCTTCCCAGGACTGAGCAAAAGCAGAATCTTGTAGGACTGCATTTCTGTGGGGTATCTTGTACAAAGTTTACTTCTGTATTTCACAACAGCATGACATCAGTGAGTTTTGCTCTGTCAGAGATTCACTGTGAGCACCAGGTCCTTTTCTGAAACCCAACCTTTTTCTCAAATACCAGCCTTTCAGTACAGAAAAAAACCACATCCCAGCTGAATTGCTTCTTACTTTGGGGATATTTCTCTTCTTTTGCAAGCAATTTGAATTCCAAGTCTCCCCAGCAGTACCTTTCATATTCTTGCTTCTATTTGCCAAACACCAACTTAATAAACTCACTCCATTCTGTCATCCCACCAGCAATACAAAATACTGAACATGACCTGGAGGGGTGTCCCACTCTGAACAGCTGTGCATCCATCTCACAGGAGTCCTTGCTAAATCATGTTTTCCAAGATATTTTCAAAAAAAGGAAGATAATTTCAAAACCTTTACTGTAGCCAAGGTAAGATACCACCTCACCTCAATTTACAAGCCTGCTACCTTGTAATAAAAAACATTTATTGCACTGATATGACAAGGTTCCTTCCCTTGATGAGTTTGTGTTGGCTGCTGTTCATCTCAAATACCTTTCAGATTGTTCATTAATAGCTACTTACAGATTTCTTTCTCTTAAGGGTGATCTTTGATTCTTCTGTTACTTTCCTGTATTATCTTTATGAAGATGGGCATATATAGAGCCATTTTTCAATCTTAATGAGGGGATTCCATCTTTCCTAATGTCATTGAGCACCAAGCTGGGATCAAGGAAAAAAAAGCTTCAAGGCAAACCCACCAAGTATTTGTGGGTACCATTAATTTGTCTCAACATGAGCTGAAGCTCAAATCCCATTTTCATGGTCCTGATAGAAAAGTGGCTGACCTCAGATCTCAGATCTCCCCTACAGACAACAACAACTGGGAGATTTGCAGGTGCAAGGAACATCTGCAGTCTCTCTGACCTTACACAAGCCTAAATTCAGATTTCAGAGCGGCAGCACTGTCTCTCTTCCAGGATGTCACTATTGTTTGGGGGATGAGCCTTTCCTTAGCTCAAAAAGGGGTCACCCATCATTACCATCTTTTCCTCCTGCTGGTGGCACTTTTTAGCTTTTGGGGTACACAGCTCAGTAATTTTACTGATCTCCCCAGCATCCTTGTTCATCATCTGAATGAGAGTGGGATGCAGGAATGTCTGCCTGTCCTCCCTGTAAAGTGTCTGTTCCTTTCCTGCTCTTGGCACTGTGGCATTTCCCAGTTTTAGGAAGAAGACCTCCAAATGCCTGCCATCTGATGAAGTCTCTAAGATCATTTGTGTTAGCTGAAATAACCAGCCTAAATTCTTTTTATTTTTCTTTTTCTGTTCAAGGACTGGTTTGGCCACCAGATGGCAACAGAAGATGGTTATGTGTGAGGAGTAATCTTGCAATACACGAAATTTGGATTAAAGCTCTACAACCTCAACAGAAAAGAGCATCTGCAAGACTTCAGAAAAAATCAGAATGTCTTTTGAAATGTATGATTTAATTTCCACTTGGTATTCTAATTAACAGAACTCAAATGTGGGTATTGTAAATATGATTCATTTCTCTAACAAATGTCCACCTCAGCAAAGAATTTCAAAATCTGTTAATCTGCTGAAGCAAGAAGAAAATCTGAAATTGCTCCAAAACCAGTTATCAAAATAAGGAAAATAACTCTCCTAGAGCCAGGATATTTCAGATGTAAATAAATACCAGGATTTATACAGCAGGCAATGGGTTTTTAACAAAGAGAAGACCTACTACAAAGGTTTCACATATTTTTTGTTGGCACTGCTGTTCAAAAACAATGTACTAGCTAATCTCTCAGAATCTAGTCATGATCTCACCTGCAGAGGCAGAAGAAAGCACAGCAAGAAGAACAGATTGCCTAAGGTTACACAGAATGTGTGGCAGCACAAAGAAAAAAATAAACCACAAACAAAACCCACAACAAACAAAAAACCAACAAAAACACCAACTCATCTCTCAAGATCTCAGAAATTCCAAGTCATTACCTTCTAAAGCTTACTCAGCAGCACCACTTAAAATATCTTTAATTCCAACAAAAACTATTTTATCTTACTGCTGTGTTAGATAAAAAACCACCAAGCTAAGAACTATACTCAAAGGTGAAACAAAAACTTAGAACGTTGAAGAAATAAATTTTAATGTAAAAATTAAGGAACACCAACTCAAAGGAAGAAAAACCCACCAGCTCAGAAGCACACTTGAAATTCTCATCCCAGGTCATCTGTGCACCAACACTTGCATCTTAAAGACAATTTCTCACATCAAACTCAGAGAAAAATACTCAAAACTATTAAAGACCGGCCTGTTACTTGCAATATTTAATTCAAAACTTTGTATTTGCCATTTGCCTTCAGTATTTCAGCAGAGTACAAATTTGCATGAAGGTGGAGTGCAAATGCCATAAAGCCATTTAGGAATTGTACTGGTACCACCAAAACATGGCAGTGACTAAAGGAGGCCAACAGGTCACTGAGAAATAGCTTTGTATAAACTACACAGAACTTTTAAAATGGGTCAACAAAATTTAAAAAAAAAAAAAAAAAATATATATATATATATATATATATTCCACATCTCTCATGAGCTGCATTTCTGACTATGGAATTGTTCAGTGTTACCCCTGCAGGGGTACCAGCTCTTTACCCAGACCTCTCAGATGCTGGAGGATCCCTGGGAACCCCTCCCAGCCAATTCCTGCTGCCCCCTTCCATGCCATGCCTGACCCAATAATGGATGGGCAAAGCTTTCTCTGACTTTGATTTCATCTCTTAGTGCAGTGGCTCAAATGAAGCTTTAACCTCCTTTGTCAATCAAATTCACATTCCAAAATTAATATCAGCCACTTCCAAAATGTTGCTGAAGTATCTTGTAGTCATCTGTGCATGCCTGCATAGAAAGTGCCCCCTCTCTCCCAAGGAACACTCCAAAATTAAAACCAGTTTCTTTTAAACCTCAAGAAAAAACCTAGGATTAAAAATTCGTTTTGTTTACTACAGTAACAAAAAGCTGATCCAGCCCTCTAATTATTCTGTAACATTTTGGATAATTATGGGCTTCACAGAAATCAGCCCAGCATCTGCTTCCTGTAAAAGAACACTGTGCTTCTCTAAGCAGTTTTCTTTATTTTCTTTTCTTAAAATTAGTTCACAAAGATAAAGGTGACTTAAAAGATAAAGTTACTTGGAATTTCACCATCAAAAACAACAACAGTGGAACAAAGTTTAAAGAAAGTAACAAAATAATTAAAGCTTGCATTTTAAAGGTCTTGGCATTTAATCCCTAACAAGAACTTCACAGCATTTCCCAAAGGGAGAAATAAACCTTGACATCCAGGAAACATAAAATTAGGCTGAAACTCAGCTCTCCTGAATTTTATAAAAAGGTCAACACAGAGCAGTCAGGGTAAGTTTAGGATGGGTGTCAATGAATGAGTATTTAACCATTTGAGGTCAAATATATGACAGGTCCCTTCAGTTCAGTCTTTTTGAAAGGATTCAAAAAGCTCAAAGTTTTTGTTTCTTCTGCTCTTGCATGGTGCTGGAAAAGTCAGAGGAAGACTCTCCACAGCTAAGCCTCATTCAGGCATTTCTGCATCATCTGTCAGAGGCCAAAAGCCAGAGCTGCAGAAATGGCAAGAGTTCATTCCTCCAACATATTAACATATATATATATAAATGTTATATATACATAAATATAGATATATATGCAAATGTTAATATATACCATATATAAAGCACTATAAGTCTATGACACACTTGACAATTGCAAAGTTTCTAAGCTGAGCAAGCAGAAATCCTGAATTCCCCTGTTTTTCCTTTCTCTTCCACGATGTAAACAGCATGGAAAATTTTATAGGGGCACCGAAATGATGATGGCATTTTAAAAGCAATAATTCAGAAAACACCCTGAAGCCCAAGCAGACTGCAGTCTACCTCCCTGTTGAACACTGTGAAGAGCTTCAGGAAAGAAACACACACAAAAACTTCATTACATCTCACACACAGGGACAGACTGAACTTTTACAGGCAGCTATAATTTTGGTTTTTTCCCCAGTTTCATCATGGTACATAATTCAAAGACTACTTTTTTGTTTCAGTGCTGGTTTGGATGTTATTTTGTTTCTTCTTTTACTGTTTTGAGCAGAAGTAAATAGCAAACCAGAGAATTTTGTTGCTTACATTGGTTTAGAAGTAACAACACCAGAAACTGGAATGATGGTGAACCATAACTGCTTTTAGCTATGCCAGGGAGCTGAGCTACACCCCAGCAGATCAAGTGCCCTGTGGAAGAGTACAGAGTGCTGAATTCTCATGAAAGACCTCAATATGTCCCATAGCTTAGTGGTACAACCAAAAATATTTCTAATCTTGACCAGACAAATACACAGAACCCTTGTTTTCCCCCAATCCACCTTCTGCTCTACTTAGTGCAGTGAGCCCAACCAAAAAAGACAAGTTCTGAAAACAGCCTGAGTGGAATCAAATCTGTGGGCCCTGGAGCAAGAGCTAAAGGCAGAAGTGCAGCAATTTTGGTGTGTTAACTAATACAACTGCAAAGCTCACCAAGAAATGAATAAATCAAAGCTAATTTCCAAAGCATATTGCATGTAATGATGTGGTTCAATTCACCATGTGCTCCAGGATTTAGATATTATCACTTTCCCACAATGGGAAATGGGATGAGTTGGTCCTGAACATACAATTTTGGAGCAGCAGCCCTTTGTTCCAGACAGTCTGGTGGCATCTCCCTTCACATTGCCCATGTCTTCTTAGAGAAGTTTTTCTGCTGCTGAAGTACATCAGCCCTTTGTCCAGGCATTGACCCAAAAAGAGGAAGAGATTACCTGTTTTGGCAGTGATGAGCTGCAGGACCAATGGCCGTCTTGTCACAATTCCAGAACCTCGTGGAAGAAAATCCCTAGAAACATTAAAAAAAATAGTTACTAGCCAGAAGTAATGTGCAGTTACATAAAATGTTGGACTCATTTGGAACCTCCTCTGCATGGAAATGGAAAGGTGGTGTGCATAGATTTATAGCTAATACTCCTATAAAGTGGGGCTGTTAATTTTGGTTGAAGATAATAGTCAGTCATTACATAGGAGACAAATGTGTATTAAAGCTGAATTTACCCAAATGATTCTGGCATCACTGCACATTTAATCTGAAGAGGATCTGGATGTAGGAATACACACACACACACCAGAGCTCTGGACAAACCAAACTGGCAGCACTCTGCACTACTCCTTCACACACTCAATTTCTGCCAGTTCAAATCTCCAAATAACTTTTCCACCAACACATCAGCCCAGAAGTTTCTCAGTGAAAGCAGAACACCAGAAGTCCTGTGGGACAGAGGGAAGAGTGTCCTTGGACCAGAAAGGAAGCAAGAAAACAAACCCAGCAGCTCTGCCATATCATTGTGCATCCCCATGGGCCTTTCCATGCCTCTAAAGACAGGGAGACTCCTTGTGCAACTGGAAAGAAAGAAACCCAAAGCAACATAACACATTTTTCTCAGTGTCTTCCCCAGCTGCCAAACCTATTAAACATTTAAAAACTATGAGATGAGGGTCAGTGAGAGGCTTTGAAAAGTGTTCCCTTCAAATAGCATCTTCAGAAGAACAAAATCCAGGGGTAAACAGTTTCACAATCAGTGTAAGCTCATCAGAATCTCCTCATTTTTCCTGCCTCACAAGGGATGCTGTATCCTTTCCTGCCTGCCCTAGCAGCACTGCTAGCTCACCTCTCTGGCTCAGGAGAAAAGCAGTGCAGTGAAGGCTTAGGGCAGGAGTTTTCAGTCCAAGGGCAGAGCTGATGTGGGTGACTGCTGTTCTACACCTGAGTGCCTGTACAGAGGTCAGGAATGTGCAGGGTCTTTGGGAGGGATGGGGAGAGGGAAAAGAGCCAAAGGATCAAAGCACAGCCCTGGCAGCCCTTTAGACACAGCTGCTCACACAGGTCTGCCCCAGCCTCTTGGGCAATCACCTCCTGCCTGGAACAGCCACTGAGGATCTCCACACTCACCTTGCACTGCTTAATGGAAGCCTGACTTTCACAGCTGCTTTAAAGGCTGCACTCAAACCTGGGTGGTTATAACAGGGCTTGAGGGTACATCTATGAAAAACAAACCACACAAACATCCAGGATATTATTTGTGCAAAGCAGAGGATGTCAGGTCTGAGCAGTCCCAGGCAAGGACAGGCCCAGGAACACAAAAGCACCAAAAAGTGACAAAGCTTCAGCAGAGAAGAAACACAGCAACTCTACTTGTGACAGGAGTACTGAAGGTTTCCTTCCTAACATCTAGACATAAAAAAAATAAAAATAACATAGCAAGCAGTTCTGAGGCTCTGAGGGGTAAGGCCAGCTGTCCTGTGCCCCACACCACTTTAGAACTCCCCAGCATTTTGAATGAAACAGTGTTAATTTGTAGCTAAATTGTGTTTCCCTTTCCCAGTACCTGTTAATGTGGGATTACTGTGGGATTACTCTGCAAACCAAAGCACACCATAAAAGGGAGGCTGTTCAAACACAAACTCACTCATTAACTTCCCTATCCAAACTCAGACCTGCAGGCAGAAGAACAATTAATTAGGAATTCAAGTAATCTCTAAAGCAAAAATACTGCAAAAACATCAGGTGTACTGATTTCAATCTGCTGTGATGCTTTATGACATTTGAGACAGCAACAGCAGAGAGGAATTAGCTTAAAGAGATGCCAAAAGCCTTCAGATAGGTCTCTGTCATAATTTCAGTATCTGCTAATGGAGAGAAAGCTGCCCCTCAATGAACACCTACTGCTGTTTTCTCATGGGGAAACAGAAAATAGTAATGGGAACATGGTCGTACTTCTGTGTGCACTGAAATGAATGCAGCCAGGAGGTACCAAATTAAGATTAAGATTACAGTTTCATACATTGGTTTTCAAGCATTTAATATCTTTTTTATATATATTTTCTTTTTTTCCCATCAGGAAACTAAAATGAATTGCCACTCAGGACAAAGTGGTCACCTAAACCAGCGTCCTCTACAGCACCACAAGAGAGAAGAAAATCCTTTGGGGAGTCAAAGGCTGAAAAGATTTATTGATTTTGTGCTTCAGAGTAAGCACATTCAGCAGTAAAGAACACTGCGTTAATGCAGCTCCCTGTGTACACAATGCTCACCTTTCCCCAACAGCAAAATTACAAAGAAAGGTTAAGACAACAATTCTCCTTCAGAACATGCTCTTAATATGCCCAAAAGTGATGGCATCCTCCGCCCCTGTCCAGGGAGCTGAACTGTTTTCTGTTCAAGCAAACATCAGCAGAGAGAGGTTCCTGCTTGGTGAGAGGCAGAGCTGTGTTGATCACATAACCAACACAACAGGACATAAAACTTCTGCTACAAATGCACATTTTAAAAGGGAAGAAGTCAAAGAATGAGGGTAATGGGCTTCACAGGGAGAGCTCAGGAGAAAATTCTCCCCCACCATTTAACCACTGAATGGGTGTTTTACCTCTATGAAAGAGACACTGACGTCAATATGCCCACAGGGATAGGGAATTTCTTTTAACATTTGAAATTTCAGCACCTGTGTACAGGTTCGGTACAGTTCTCTGCAGGTTCTGTACATTCTCTGTACAGCTCAAATCAGATGTTACAAATAAATACATAAACTCTACTTACAGGAAAAAAAGGCAATTTTTTAAACACGCACAGAAATGTAAGCCAAATCTGAAACACAGCTTGCATGTTTTAGGAAAAACAACCTAGTAGCACACAGCAGGAAATCAGGTTAAATGCTGCACAACTCCTGCAGAAATGCCTACTCTGACATCCACAGGACAGGAGGCAGCTCTCTAAAGGGTTTGTAAGAGGTGCTGAAGGAAACAGCTCTGGATCAGAAACGGTCCCACAACTCGTACAAGTAACAGCAGCAAGAAATGCAACAGGAATGAACAGAGCCAAGTCTCAGAGGCTCCTTCTGACCAGAAGGACAATGCCTCTCCAGGCCCTGATGGCACACCCTAACATTCTTCTAAGATTTGAGACAGCTGCTATCACACCTTTTGGTTAGCATGTACACATCTGTTCAGTGAAAGGTGGGATAAAAAATTCACATCAGAGTTGAGGCAGCTGCAGAGAAATCCATCTAGGAAAACATTCATGCCTGAGAATTGGTGCTCAAAGGCACCAACAAGGGGAGAAAAGGCTGTTGTCTGTGGTGGGGCAGTGAGCCTGAGAGCAGCTCTGTGCACAACTGCAGGGCCAGCTAGCAATGAGGAGTGCAGGAAAGAATAAACTCATTGGGAATGAAAGCCCTGCTCCTTTAAGAGACATTCATCCTGAATTAAGATTGCAGCTACCTTTCCATCCTCACCCTCAGAGCATTGTCACACAAAGCACTGAGCTGACAGCAGCTGTAGCAGCTCAGCAGTGACAGCACAGCCCATCAGCAAGGCCTGGCCAGGGCTGAACTTCTCAAATGCAGAGAGGAGGCAAACAGCCAGATCTGCCAGGAACTTCAGGAACTTGTCAATCTTAGACTGCACTCAGCTGTTAGAATATTGCTAAATATTTTCAAGAGCAGGGCTAAAAAATTTTTATCCTATAAAATTACTCATGTCTTCATATTTATTAATTTAATTTTATTTATTCTTTATTTAATTTAATATTATATATTACTGCATAACATAAGCTGTGTTGTCTTCTTTAGCACTGCATATTTTCAGTGTCAGAGATGTGGACAAGTGTATCTACTAAATTTGGTGACTATTGTTTGTTTAATGCATAAAGGAACATACAGTGGCTTGAATTTGGCTTGCTAAAAGCCAGGTCTCAAACTTATGCCACAGGATGGTGAAACAAGTTGGTCACAGCAACACTTCAGCAGTTTATAACAACAAGCCAGTTTGGGCTTTAAGGTGAAAAAGTAATTTAAATACTCATTCATTGAAGAGCCTCGTGGAAGAGATGGAAATTTCAGGAAGGGCAGAAACTGTAGGGAAATGCTGAAAAGCAAACTAGACAGGGGCTCCTCGGAGAGGTGGTCTCAGCATAATGCAGGACTGCAGCTTCCACAGGAAAACACAACTTGTTTCAAATATCAAATAAACATAACTTGTTTCAGGGGATTTCCATGGAGAGTCTCCATTTAGATCTTCAGCACACTAACAGTATTTATTATGTTTAAAAAAAAAGAAAAGATGAAATGAAACAGAAAAATCCCCAGTTTGTGTGAAAAGTGATGATGCATCACTGTTTAAAACTTATTGTAGTTTCAAAAGAATAACTTACATTTGCTTTTCTTTGCCAGTATAGGGCTGAGAAATGTTCAGTGCTTAGATCAGTTACATGGCCAGTATCACACAGGATAAACTAATTTACATCAATACCAACATAATTAATTCTTACAAAACATAGGGGGAATCCAGCAAATCAAATAACCAAGAAAAAAGTCAATGTTTACACAGTAACTGCATTAATTAAAGAGCTATGAACAATTTAATTGATAGTGATGAATTGTTTAAAAAAATCAGAATTGTCTCCAAAGAAAAAGGCTCCACATTTCTCACAAAGCACAGAAAGGTGCCAGGCTCAGGACAAAAACCAGAGTTCCTCACAAGAAGCAGAAATGACCCATCTCTTTCAGACAACACCAGCAATGGCACAAGAGCTCTGCCACTAACACAAAGTCCATCCCAAGGCCCCAGACCACCCCCAAATGCAGAAAGGCCCTGATCCAGCAGCAGCTAATAAAACAACAGTGCATTGGTAGCACTCCCTACAGGCTTTTATGCCCAAGTTTTGCCAAGGAATGCAACACAGCTTTAATTGCAATAGGAAGCAATTGCGTCCAAAGTCAAAAGTTTTCCTGGGCCTTTTTCCAGCAGTGTTTATTGTTTTACTCAACTCCAGCCTGGCACACCAGGAGC